TGTCAGCTGAGTTCCCCAGGACTCCTGTGCCTGGCTGGTAAACTCCATCTCCCCTGTGAAGCCTTTTTGTGCAGAGTTAGGGGAAACAACCCAGGTTTTCCCACTCTGCTTCGAGGATGGTGGGTGAACTCGAAAGAAATGGGAGAACGATGGACAAGAGAGGGATGCACATCACGCACCACATGCACAGAGAACAGGATCTCGTAAGCTTCATTTCCTTAGGAAATCAGGTTTAAAATTAAGGCTAATCAGAATTAAGAAACACTGCCGTTACCCTAAACCAAATGATACTATAATATACTCAGTATATTACATTCTCAATAGCAAAGCAGCATCTGCTACATAAAATGAAATGTGTGTGTCACCATATGTAGGCAGCATAATGTGGACTCAAATTAAATAAAAACATTTCAGGGTATATGGTCCAATGTGCAATCTGGGCCCTGGGAAATGCTGAGATTTACTCTGAAGTTCCTAACAGTTGGCTAAAATGCTGAACCCAAAGCAGCACAAACCCGGGTCTTTTTAGCAACAAAAGCTGTTGTCTGCACTTCCCCCCCAATGAGTCAATATCGCTTCAGGAGTGCATTGTTTCTCTTTTTCTTTCTTTTTCTTTTTTCTTTTTTCTTTTTTTCCCCCTATTTATCTGTGTTTCTTAATGAGGTTTCTTCCCATTAGCTACAAAACACCTGAGCAAGCAGAGCCCTGGGCAGCAGCAAGCACTGCCTTCCCTCCATGGAAGGTGCAGGAGGGCACTTGGAAGCCCCATAATAGCATTCGGTCTGTGATCCACGTGCTGCAGATGAATGGGAAGAGGTAAACTTTGCACAGCAGTGTGACTCCAACCCTTCCCAGCCACTCTTTTTCTCCCTGAAAGCTCTCACGGAGCAAGTGGCTTCTCAAGAAGCTCACCACAATCCTGTGCTATTTTGAAGCAATCAGGCTGAGCTGCACAGGCAATCCTCCCAGTGTGAATCGTGCTCAATGAGACTCTGATGTTTGCCATTACCCTCCTGTTGACCCCACCTGTTGATACAATAACATGGTGGAAAGTTTGGGTTCTCTTCAGGTGCCTGAAACATTGAAACCATGCTGGGGGGGTTTTTGCCTGGCTGGGACAGCTAAGGAGTTTGTAGCCAGCAAGCATTGATCGTAGGATGAGTTCAACCCTTTTGAATCAGCTAAGGAGGATTTGCTTTTCTTTTGAAGAGAATCTATTAGGCACAAAAGAAGCAAACGCAAAGCCATTGTTCAGTGCCAGGAAGGAAGGGATGTTTGCAAAGTGCGTGGCCTGGCTGAGGTTTTATCCTTCTTGCTCACGTCCTTGAATTATTTTCAGACCAGAAAAGGCATTGTTCTGCTCTTTAAAACAAAATTTCCAACTGTGAGGCTTGGATAGAAGCGTCTGATGAGTTAAAAATACAACATACCAAAAACAAAGGGCAAGGCAATGCCTCCAGTGGAACTAGCTGTGCTACCACCTGGAAATGTTGGATACACCTGTAAAGGCTCCAGGAATTCACAGGGCACAAAAGCAAAAGGTCTGCATTCCCCATAGTTTGTGTTGAAGGAAAATCCTGCAACCACACAGTGCTCTGTTCCAGCTCCCTTCCTATTCATCTTCTGCACTTCCACAGTTCTTCAGCTGCTGTTTTATTTCTGGTTTCTAATGCAAGAGGCTGGTTCTCACCATTCCTGATGTGCACTGCTGGTTGCTGACCTGTTCTCACTTGGTCTCCCCAAAGCATTAGGTGACGGATTGAAGTCTGGCAGTCTGCTCCTCCACCTGCTTCTGAGCTGGGAGGTGAAGAGCTGCAGAGAATGAGAGTTGTTTTCTAAAACTTAGAAAAAAGCAAGCCGTCTTTTCAGATCCATACATGCATCTTGTTTTTCTTTTCCTCAGTCCTTCGGGTGCATTTTGAACCCCTAATGCTAACACAGCAAGTAAAACACGTGGGACACAGCATTGCTGACCCCGAATCAGCAGCCTAATACAATTAGGAGGCATAAACCAAGGTCAGCCAAAGAGTGAAGCAAAGAACTGTACGTGGGGGCATTTTGGAAGACCCAAATGAAGTCCCCTGCCAAATGCTTTGGCCAAATGCACCACCTCTGTTTTATGCCTGGGTTGGAAGTGAACAAAGGCAGCTGCAACCGAGGTGTTCCTGGACATCAGCAGTACATGGGCACACACAGGAGCGTTCTTCAAGTTGGGAGAGAAAAAATATATAACAGCCTGTAAATACTTGTAACCCCGGGGCAACAGAACACATATCCTGGCAACGCGTGTGGGTTTTACTCTTCCATGACAATTTGCTTTGCTATTCATGAAAAAATATGTTGGTGCTGTTACCTTAGCAACTGCTGCATCACGTTCCGGTGATGCTCTGCCCGAGGTGCGTGGAGCCCTGCCTTAAAGGAGCACGTCTGTCTCTCCTGTGCCTCTCCCCGTGGAAATAGAGCTCAGCTGAGCTGGGATCCTCACCAGGGAAGTCTCAGAAGTTGGTAATGAAGCAGGAGGAAATGTGTTCATTTAGATGCACTGTTTTGGAGCTGTGTCTGATAGCGGCCCGAAGCCACTTTGGACGATATGTTGGATAAACTTGCAGCAAAAAGGAGCTACTTTCCCAAAATATTTTCGCTTTTTAAGGGAAGAAAAATGGCAATGAGAAGCCACTGGCAGGCTGGATGTATGGCAGGGAGCATCTCTGTCCAGCTGTCTCCACCCATAGTGTCCATCTTCTGGATTGGGCCAATTTCCCAAGAAACAACCATTTTTGCCTTCCTTTGTGTTGACTTCAATAGAGAAATTCAGCCCCAGCTGCTGTAGGTGGGATCCCTAGGCAATTCCTACAGAAAGATAAGGTGAAAATCTATCACACAGTGACATCTCACCTGTAACGTGTGGAGGAGCCAGGAAGCTTCTTTTGGAAAGGCTCTTGGCTCTGAGTTAACTGTGCCAAGCAATGGAAGAGCTCCATGCTTCCATCTGAGACCTTTAACCCCCCGCCTGAGGAAACACAGCTCCATTTTCTAGTCAGAATTCTTCCCACTTCCACTCCACACTGTGGACGATCACTTTGCTTCTGTTATCAGACAAAAGACCCTTTGTGTGCAGAAACCTCCCTCCCAGGGCAGCGTCTGCTCTCAGCCCCATGGCAGCATCTCCAGACCTCACAGCTCTGAGCCCTTTCCAACTTTCTGCAGGTGTTTTCCAAGTCAGGGTAAGACACCATGGGAATCAGAAGACCCAGTTTGTGTTCCTTTGCTCTGTCACTATGGGCAATTTTTCCTTTGATTTCTCTGTTTCTCTGATTTACACCCAGCAGGGGAGCTCCATGGGCAGGGCCTTATCCATGGAAGCCTTGGGCACAGGTTCTGTGACAGTGTTCTTGGCATTAATTACAAAAGGCTGTAAAAGAGGAATCAATTAAAACCAATGACAGAGCTTATGCTTTTGTCATTTACCCAGGTGCAAGCCATAATTATTACTATGAAGGTCAATGGAGCTGGATGTTTATAAAAGCAATGGAGAGGGTGGAAACAGGACCCTTTTTGGGGATGTGCTGTCTGATCAATTTCACAGCCAAACCTGGCACCACTCTTTGTGATCTCTCTGGCCCTTCTCTGTCCTCTGGTTTTGGATGATCCCAATCCCAGGCAAGAGCATCCTGCTGCAGTCCCAGCTGGGGGAAGGTGATGTCTATGGTAAAAAAAAAAGCTTTCTAAGGCACGAGGGGAGGATGTGTTCAGACCTCATTGCACACCTGATGCTCTTGGCCTCGGTGCACTGCTCTCGATAAAGTCAGGAGGAGCTTAATGCTTTTTAAAGGTCCTCTGTTTTTATGGGCTATAAAGCATTGACCTTAAAGGGACATGTTGAGGGAAGTATATTAAAGAGAGGCCTATGGGGGAGAGCCAGGCACATCAGCTTTCCTGCAGCTGCTCTCTGGGCTGCTTTTTTTTTTTTCCCAAGCTCTCTCTAAACTGATCTGATTTTTTTCCCATGGATGCTGGTGAGTCCTACTGCAGCCACAAAGCTTTCCTTTGGGCACCCACTGATGGCAACACACTGCTTTTGTGCGGTTTGATCTCAGTAGCCTGGCCCTGCTGAGTCCCAGCTTAGTGTCACTGGGCTGCAAATGCTTTGCCTTCCACCCTTTGCTTTGATGGGGAGTTCAGGGAGCCCACCTCCCACTCCAGCAGTGACCGTTGCCACAGGACTGCTGCAGAAGTGCTCCAAAATGAGCACTTAAGGAAGGAAAGTCCTCTTGTGGGGACTTTCTTGTGGGGATGCCAGTGGCAAGTGATTTCTATTAAGGCACTCATTAAGGGCAGACATTGTGCATCACATTTCTCACACGTGAGAAAGGGGGTGATGGTGTTTGTCAGCCCGTTTTGCCAGCTACTGTGGGACTTAACAGTATCCATGAGGTCCTGGGAAAGCTGTGAGCTGGAGATCATTTGGGATGTGTGTAAAGGGGGGGGGATGCATGTATCATTCCCACAGGTACTGAGAAGGGCACAGTGTGAGGTATGCATTGCCAGTGATGCCTTCCCTAGCCAAGCTCTGGGCGCACCAACAGAGCCTCTGTGGGGTATTGGGAGCAAAGGATGCACAGCACGAGGTTTACCCCCTTTCTCCTTACTGAACCAATTTGGCTGTGAGCCTTCCAGCAGACGCTGCTCAGAGCCCTCTGGGAGGGTTTGCTCTGGTCAGGACCTTTGCACGGGGATTTGACACTTCCAGCATGAGACCCTGCAGCCCGGGGTCGGGTACAGCCCGGGTGGAGCGAGGTCCGGCCGGCACGGAAGGGGTTAAAACCGCTCCAGTCCCCGCGGCCCCCGGCGCTCCCCCACCGCAGCTCCCCGGGCTCCTTTTCCCCCTCTCCCTTTGCCGTGTTTAGTTAAATTTCCCCCGCCTTAGTTGATGTCACATCCTGTTCCACAGCCATCCCCTGCTAGTAGCCAGCCCTACCGATTCCTTTTTTTTTTTTTTTTTTTTTTTTTTTTAAATCCCTGTCCTCTCCTCATCACCCCCCCTTTTCAAGGCAAACTTTTGGCAATAGCACAGATAATCGTTTCGTGCTCCGCTGAATTTCTCCTCTCAAATGCCTTCCGATCGGGGGAGCCATTAAAAAAAAAAAAAAATTGCCAGAGAGCCAGTACGGATTGAAACTGGGATCCCAATAAATATGCAAAGTGAAGGCTCTGCTAAGCAGATTTCTTGCATTGCTTCCCGGGGGTGCTGAGAGTCTCCCGGAGAATCTCAGTGATTATTTTGATTGTATTTTTTTTTTAATCGCGTTTTATTGAGGCTGGTTTTTTTTGTTTTTTTGTTTTTTTACCTTTTCTTTTTTTAATTTGTAATTAAAATCCCCCTGACGAGAAAGGAGCGAGGAGGCAGCGAGGAGCGGGGATCGGCGCAGGGCGGCGAAGCGGCGATCTGCATGCAAGGTGCTTAGGGCTGCCCGCGAGACATGCAACCGGCAAGCAAGCTCCTCACCCTCTTCTTCCTCATCCTGATGGGCACAGAACTCACTCAAGTAGGTGCCTCTCTTGCTTTTCTCACCCCCCCCCCCATCCTTTCTCCCCAACGCCATTTTCTATTAAACCTCGACAGCGCACACACAGACGCACCAAAAAAAAAAAATACCCACAACCAAAATCCTCGTGTAGAGCGAATCCCCGCGATGCTGAAAGCCTGCGGCCGGGATGCGGGATTGAAGGGGGGTGGGGGGAGGATTGGGATGCTGGCAGCCGGGGCTGCGGGGCCCGTAGGTGCCCCCCCCCCCCATCTCGGCGAAGTTCGGTCGGTGCGTCCCATCGCCCCGCGGTGCCCAGCGCTGCTCGCCTTCCCCCTCCCGCAGCTGCTCCCGTGGGGGCAGTTGTGCTGATATACATACATACATATATCGAAGTGACATTTAAATGTCCCTCAACGTTTCCTTCTGTGGCTCGTGGGAGAGATGAGCACCTCGTACATCCCCCTCTCTCCGCCCTTTTTTTTTTTTCCTTTTTTTTTAAATGGGATTTTAATGCCTGTTTTTACTTGCCTGGCCCCTGGACGGAGTGAGCAGGAGGGGAGGCACCGGCACATCCCTCGCGAGTGGCAATCAAACTCCTATCGACTCCCTTCAGATCACTGGGGAGAGAATGAAGCAGCCAGGTGGTGCTCCTTTGTTTTCAAAGGCAGTGGGAAACGGAGAAAAGTAGTTGCAAGAGGATGCTCTAGATTGGGGGGGGGTTAATTGTAATGCTGCCTAGGAGCAAAAATGAAGAAAGAAAAAGATGCTGTAAATAGGAGGGGAGTAGAAGCTGCTTCTTGTAGAAGCAATTAGTGGCCGAGCTCTCCTCCTGGTTGCTGCAGGTAGATTATTTCTTGCTTTCTCCAGCTGACAGTGCTCTCTTGTCGCTGCCCTATTGCTGAAGTTTCTCCTTTAGGGCTTTGCACCCTCTGAGTATTTCTGCTGCCTCCCCTCTCCTCGATGGAACGGCTCGAGTCGGAGCTGCCTTAATTGCATGGAGCCCTCCGGAGGAGGTCTGGGATGGAAATAATTAGGAAGGGGGGGGAGGGGGAAGGATAGGATAGGCACTGACATCCAGGCTGTGGATGAGAAGGAGTGAGGAGGAATGAGAACTGCAAGTGAGTGCCCATGAGAAGCCCATTGTATGTGAGGATGTGTGCAGCACTGCGCATGCGTTGTGCCGGACAAAGCAGCCGGGGAGCCGCCAGCATCACTTGCAGACCTGCAAAAAGGGGCATCCTGCAGGGCCCCAGCAACAGCCTGGGGGAGCCAAGCAGCACTGCAGGGTTGTCCCCTTCCCTGTTGCCTCTCCAGCATCACCTCCTGCCCCATAAATTGTACACCTCACCCACTGGTGCATCACCCCAGGTGCTGTCGTCCCTTTTTTTGGCCTTGTCAGTCTCTGTCGCTCTGTGCTTTGTTCAAAGATGGTCTGTCTCACATTGTGCCTGGCTACTCTTTCCTTTCCTTGCATCCCCTATTTGTGCCCACAACGTGCCAGCTTCGCACCCGACTTTAAATCAGGGTGGCAACAAGGGATCAGAACGGCAGGGCTGAGCACGGCTGGCTGATTCTGAGCAGTCACCTCCCAGCCTGAGCTGCTGGAAGCCAAAGCTGTGGCTGTGCTGGGCTGAATGCAGCCAGGGCTGCGTGCTGGTTTGCTGCCTGCAGGGAGCTGCTCTGCCAGGCCCCGCTCACCGGCACACAGCCTGCTACCTCGCTTGGCACTGCAGAGCCCTTTCAGAGTTTTAGCATCTCATTTCAGTAGCACAGCTGCCAGATGCAATCCCCAAATATGCCTTTCATTCCGGGCACCGCCCAGCTCGGTGTCTTCAGCGTTTAATTCAGTGCCAGATTCACATCTCCATTGCATGTGTGGAGTCTCTCCCATCCCCTACGGAGATCCTGTGCCAGGGGAGGAGGGATCGAGGTTCAGGGAGGCAGGTTGCTGGTTTAGGCAGCTTTCCCTGTCAATGCAGAAGCTGCTGCCATCCCCTCCTCTCCCTCCCTGCAGTGTCTCTGACAAGTCAGCCCACAATCAGGGAAGAAATGGGGAGAGGGCAGCTGTGAAGGGGAGCACGTGGCTGTCCTTGCTCTGGGAAAACTTATCGTGGACAGCGGGGGGTTGTACTGCAGCATCCTCCAGTGGTTCCCCCCATTCTCCAGCTGGGAGTATGTAGGGCTCTGGGGCCTGCCTGAAGTAATGGTGGCTTTATCTTTGTGAGAAAAGAGGAAGCTGCCCCCACACGTTTCCCCCCCCCTCCCCCGTATCTTGGCCCTCTGCAGAAATCCCTGCCCTGGGGGCAGCAGGAGAGAGACCTACATGATGCTCTGGGTTTCCTCCTTGCTGCCAAAGGCAAAGGGCTTCCTGGGCAAAGTGACCAGGCTTCTTCTCCAGGAGAGCCCAGACAGCTCTCCTGGTGGCCATGAGCAGCAGAGCCAGCTTATGCTCTCTAAGAATCTGTCCCCCCACCCTCTTGTCTGCTTCTAGTGTGCAGATTAGAGTTGCCAGGGCAGAGAGTTTTGGCTGCTGTACGACAGCCAGGAGTATTGGCAGAGAGGGATACAGGCTGCTGTGTGCTTTGCTATATGCTCCTCTGTCTGTCTATGCACCCAACCCCTTTGTCATACTTTAGGCAAGCTCACATCATACCATGCTGGTGTTACTGGGCTATCATCAGAGAAAGCCTCTGCGCTCCTCAGAGTTTCACAGTGCAGCTGATGCTCGGATGGTTGCTTCCCCAGTAACCATTGAAACCACACAGAGAGAAATGCACTCCTGGACTGGGGAGTTATTAAACAGCTGGTGCTTCTGCAGGTCAGGAAAAAAAATCAAACAAGAAAAAACATAAATTTGCCCTTGATTTTCCTAAAGGCAGAGCAGGTCTCTTGGTGTTACTTTCAGGGCAAGGGAGAGAGCTGCCAGCCCTTCTGGGCTGGGATTGCACCATGTGCTCCCCTCCCACAGCTGTGTGACCCCATGCCCCTCTGCCCATCACCTCCCATTCCCTGCTCTGAGTTTTTCTCTTTGCTGTTGGAACCCGGTAGGATTAAGCAGCAAATCTGCAGCCTGTACCAGGAAGCAGCTGCCTCGTCTCATAAACCAATTTGTGTCTCATTTCACTAACTTCAGCTTTAACCAATAAAAAAAGAAAGGTAATTTTCAGCCCTGGGTTGTATTTATTACTCGAGTTATCAGCCCTTGTAATCAGTATTAGCATCGCTGTGTAAAGTAATACAAAACTAATTACTAGCTGAGTGAATTAAATAGATGAAGGCTGTAGGTCGCATTGGCAATGGAAGAAGCTAGTTCTTGAGTTATGAGTGATAAGTGTTGGCTTGGCTTTGCTGTGAGGGTGCCACAAAAAGGGACCAGGGCAGGGATGGAGCATCTTTTTGGGGCTGGCTGCCTGTAGGGACTCAAGTGGGTGCTTTGGGATGACCTGACTTGGTCAAGAGAAAATGAAAGCTGCACCTGGGGAAATTAAAGCAGAATCCACATCGCCTCTTAGCACCAGCAAATCCCAGCCACAGGGAAAGAGCGCCTCAAAGTCTGAATCCTCCCTCTTTTACAGACCACAGCCAGTGCTTGCTGCTGTTGTCCCAAAACTGAGGCCAGGTCCCAGCATCCTGATGTCTCTCTATGGGGGTTTTGGGCCTTTTCTTGACCCAGACCCTGGCTGCCAGGCCCCTCTCCATCCCAGCTGGGAGGCAGCATCCCAAGTCAGCCTAAACATAGGGGAAGATTGCTGAGTGGTCTGTGTGCAGAAGGAGTTGTCTCAGCTCCCGCAGCTGCAATGGGCTTTCTGGATCCTGCCTGTGATAGGAGGGGAATATTGAGCTCTGTGCTGGGATGATGGGATCCAGTTCCAGAACTGAGGTTTGTGTGTGTGATGGTGGCGCAAAGGGTGATAAAAACAACCAAAGGGTTGAAGTCAGACTCAAAGACTGGGGAAACTCAGCAACATTTATTGCTGCAGCAGTCCTGACTTGCTGAGATCCCACCAAACGATTGTCTCGTGCTCCAAAGGTGTGTGCTGCCTTGTGAGGGCGATTCTGTCCCATCGGGGCCAGGCGCCTCCTCCGCTGGGAGCTCCTCACAGCCCTCCTGGTCCGTGGTGCAGAGGGATTTCAGACACCTCCTCTCCCCGTGCAGCTGATGAGGTCCCTTCCACCCCGCTGCCTGTTTGCCTTCTTGCCGTCAGTGCTGCTTATTCAGTGCAACACAGCGCCTGGAGGTGGGGAGGGACGAGGGGCCGGCAGGATGCACAGAGCCAGCAGATGTTCGCAGTACAGCCGTACGTCTTTTAAAGCAGCCCCTTCCCCCCTTTCGCCGTGCAAATCTGCAGACCCCGATCTTGGGGACTGGGAAGCAAGTCCGGGTAAGCGTGGGGAGGACAGAAAAACTTCAGCACCTCTTCTCTGAGCCAGCCAGGAGAGGGAGACAGTGACCGCCGTGTGCTGCACACGCACTCACACTCGCACACATTCACACACGTGTGGCTGCGTTGGCAAACATTGACCCCAGCGGGTGACATGGAAGCAAACGGTGGCATTTTGCACGACCGTGCGGAAAACAATTCTTGCAAGCAGTGGAATTTTCCACTAAGCAGCTATTTTGGAAGACTCTATAATTGGCTTTTATCTGTCTTCCCTCCTCTTTCTGCCTTCAGAATAAATGCATGCAAATGGGATCTCTTGTTCCCCAGCAGTTTGTCTTCTCCTGCTGCTCACTGCCTGCCCTCAGCTGCTCTTGCAGGGAAGGTGCTTACAGCAAATGCATCAGGACAGAGAAAGTTTAGGGCCATCAGGAGCCTTTTTTTTAATGCAGTGCTCTGTGCAATAAGAAATGGAGCAATCAGGATGAAGGTGAACTCGACCAGCTCAGCAAAACCAGTGCTATAGCAGCAAGCTTAACAATATGGTTACAACATGTGTCTCTGCTTCACCCTGATGCCTATCTGTGAGTGCTGTCAGCCCTCCCTCATTGCTCCTGATTTGCTCTAGCATGGGTGCAATGCCAGGTGTTCTGCATAAGCTTTGTGCTCTTACTGGGGTTTGTTGTCTTTTTGTTGGTGCTGGTTTCATGCTTTTAAAGCCATAGGAGCAAGAAGGACGTTTTGGTGACTGCAGCTCATTTAGTTCAGGTCTGGAGGTGACAGAAGTGGTCGTCCTGCCTGCTGACTGCAGCACAGCATGGGCAAGAGCAGCATCTCACAGATGAAATCATCCGTGTGCAATGGCAGGAATGGAATCTGTCTTCAGTTCTGATGGAATCCACAGCAAGGCTGTGGGTTTTTTTCCTCTCGCTGAATGCATTGTTAAGCAATGAAGGATCTGTAGGTCTAATTCACTTTGTATGCACTTGCAGTTGACAAACACAAGGAACAAACTTTTTCTTGCAGCTTAGTTTCAGAATGAACATTAGGATGATTTCAGCGTAGCACTCCGGTGTTACATGGTATGAAATCAGGCACACAGTCAGGGTCTGAGCACAGTGCTGAGCACAGCACGAGCTGAACTGGAGCAGAATGAGAGGTGTGATTATTTTTCTAAAAGGTCAGAGCTGTATGAGGCTTCTGCCTAAAGAAACTCTTCCTGCCTGAAACACCTCTCTGTTGCTGGCCACTTTGCAGGCACGATGCTGCATGGCTGACAGCAGCTTTGCTATGAGAAGGATGCCCAAAAACTTGAGGGCAATCTGGGCTGAGCGAAGCCCATTTCATGGGATGGAGGTCATTTAGCTGCTCAGGTGCAGGACACGGTGTGACCCAGAGGCAGGAGTGCTTTTCTCATGGATTTCATTGCAGCAGGTCGATCTGCTTGCTGGCTGTCTCACCCGGGTTAGAGATGCACTGTCCTGAGCAGTGGGGAAAAGGGCAGTGGCAGCAGTGCTGGGGGTGTTGGGTTGTGAGGGATAGGGAGGGCATTTGGGTTGCTGCAGCCTGGGGCATGCACAGTGTCTGGTTCTGCTCCACGCTGTTAGGGAGGACAGAATCTGATCTGGTGCCAGTGCTTGCACTCTAACTCATCTCTTTTTCTCCACCTGGTGGACTTGCTGAATGTGCATTCATGTCAGTGCTTTTCTGAAACTGCCTCGCACTCTCTGCAGAAGCAGCTCTATGCAGTGAATACATTTCAGGGCACAGCTCCCTGTTGTTTGGCTCTTGCTCTGCACACCAATCTGGATGTTGTATGGCAAAGATGCTGGTGGGTCACAGCCTTGGGGCAATCCATCAGCACCTTCACAGCCAGTAAGGAGGGGGCTGTGACCCCACCACCTGCAGGAGCTACGCCAGGAGATGAACTGTACCAGAAGGGGCAGATTTGGGGTTTGTCTGAAAGACTCCAGCTGAGGGGACATGCTGGGGGTGCCGTGGCCATGGGGCAGACATGCAGTGTGACATGGAGCAGGGCCTTGGTGGCTGCCCCATCATGCTGAGGCTGATGTTGTAGCAATGGAGCAAGCGGGCTCACTCCTATCCTCTGGAGAGGGACAGGAGATTCACTTCATAATTTGCTTTGCACGGGGTGTTTAAAGGTTCACTCAGAGAAGGACGTGCAAGGGGTCTCAGATCTGTCTTGGCTGAGACTTCGGTTTCAAAGCCACTGGGACGCTTCTGAACATGCAAATGATAACGAGCCAAGTCTTGATGCTGAGGAGCTGGATGGAGCAAAGCCGCCATCCCATCGGCAGTGTACAGATCACGAAGCAGCGGGCACGGCTGGCAGAGCGCTGCTCCTTCACCCCGTCGCTGACAGCAGCTCCTTTTGTCCCGCTTTGAACAAACCCGGGGCAGCTCCCACGGGATGCCCGAAGCTGCGAACCCACCGCCCCGCTCCACCGCAGCGCCGCCCGCGGCCACCAGGGGGCGCCATAACGCCGCGCCGCAACGGAGCCCCGCTGCACCGGGGGAGCCGCCCCCGCCCCGCTGCTCTTTCCCGCCTCCTCTCCATTCCCCCCCTTCTCCCCCAAATTTTTCCGTCTTCCCACAGCTTTGGTCCTTTTCCCCAAATGTCTCCCTCGCTTCCCAAACCTTTTCCTCGCTCCCCAAATCTTTCCCCTTCTCTCCAAGTCTTTTCCTCCCTTCCTTAAACCTTTCCCTTTTTCTCCCCAGCTCTTTCCCTAAATCTTTACACCCTCCATCCCTCCTCTCTCCCAATTCCCCAAATCCATCTCCCTAAAATCCCTCCCCAAATCCTTTCTCCCTCCTCCGCTCCCCCCCCCCCCCCACGCCAATCCCTTCTCCCCTCCTCGCTCTTCTCCCCCCCCTCCCCTCCCTCTTTCTGCCCTCCGCAGGCTCTCCGGCTGGCTGAGCTCTCCGAATATTCCCGCCCCCCCGCTCCTCCCTCCCCGCTCCCGTCCCGCCTCCTGCAGCCGCTCGCTCCGCTCCGCACCGCTCCGGTTGGGGCGCGCCCGGTGGCGGCGGGCGGAGGGAAGTCGCCCCGCTCCGCTTCCAACACCGGTACCCACAGCAGCACCGCAAGCGCCGGGCAGGACCGCGTCGAGGAGACGGACGATGGGCCGGCGGCGAGAGGCGTCGGTGGTGGTGGCCGTCGGGCGGTTGTCGCAGCCCGTCCCCAGCGGCATGGAGCCCGGCGCCGGTGCAGAATGAAGGGTGCCTGGCGCCCACCCCCGCAGACATGTCTGTGCCTTTACTCAAGATTGGAGTCGTCCTCAGCACCATGGCCATGATCACCAATTGGATGTCGCAAACGCTGCCCTCCCTCGTGGGGCTCAACACCACCAAACTCACGGCGGCCTCGGGCGGCACCTTGGACCGCAGCACGGGAGTAAGTGCGGGGGGCGGCGGGGGGTGGGGGGGGCTGGCCGGAGCATCCCTACCTTCCTCGGCAGCTCCCGCCTGGGCACCCCCCGGTCACCCCCATCCCTCCGTGCCTCATTGCCCCCCTGCCCCGGGACCCGCCCGGCCGCCTGGGAGAGGGGGGTGGATCTCGTTGTGAGACCCCCGAGCCTCCCGCTGCAGAGAGCGGTGCAAAGGGAAGAGGCAACGCTGCGGTCCCCCGGGATGACGGGGTTACGTTTTGGGGTGGTAGGAGACGCGGGGTTGCGGTGCTGGGTTGTCCATCCCCGACCCCGGGAGTGAGGCAGACGCTTCCCAACGCCTTCAGCCGGGAGAGCGCAGAGTTTCCCTCGTGGTTGTTTCTCTGAGTGAAGCGGTTTGGGACAGCAGGTGCGAGTCCTGCAAAATCTCGTTTGCTTCCCTGCCTTTAATCAATAGGCGTTAATGGGGTGGAAAATGCAGCGGAGCAGTTGCGGCGTATTTCGGTCGTGCCTTATGTTTGCTGTCCCTGTTTTGCTGAAAGGCTGGGACGGAGCCCGGGTTTGGCACTTTGGAAATGGCAGAGGGAAACGATCTTTCTGTCTGCCTTCCCACAGCAGGAAAAAACGGGTACCTTTCACCTCCGGGCTGCACGCCTGTGCCTCACAGCAGAGCCGCCGCTTTACAGCTCTGCTGCTTCAAAGCGGCTGTTTCCCGTAGTGCCTCTGCTGATTGTGAATGAAGCTGGGATTTTTCCATCTTATCAAGGCTAATGAGGCTTTTTTTTTTTTTTTTTTTTTTTTTTCTGGTTGTTTTAGCTAGATTAAATTACTCATCTGTCCGCTAGTGTGTGCCTGTGCACATGGGTGTTTGCAAGGTTATTTGTAGCGCATTGAAATAGCAGAAAGAACATTTCCCTTCTGGCTGGCAAAACAGTGGTACCTTCAAAGTGATCAGACGCTGAATTGTGACTAAATAATGTATTTTGCAAAGTGCTGGGAGGTGAAAGGGGAGTTAAGATCAGAGAGCTTTGGTGAGCACGAGTGGTGTGGGGAGGATGGGGAGAGCGCTTGGGGCTGCAGCGTGTCCCAGGTGCTGTGGTGGCAGTGGTGATCATCTGCCCCGTGCTGCATTGCTCTGCTGCTGTGTGCTTCGTGGGGTCCTGACCTATGGAGCTTTTAGGGGGGAATGGTTGTCCTGAAGAAGCTCCCCGTCCCCTGGAGAGCCTGGCAAAGGATGGAGGAAATGTGACTCCTCGTATTGCATCGCTGGCTCCAGGAGAGCTCTGCAGGTGCTCAGCGACAGCTCAGCTCTCAGCCAGGACGCCGTGCCCTCCCCGTGAGTTCGGGCACATCCTGCTCACGGCCTCAAGGAGACCCCGAGTGTGTGGTGATGAGAGCCCAGCCACGAGCTCTGCTTGCTGGTTTGGCACCCGGTGCTGAGCCTCTGCGATGTGGCTCCCCCGTGTCCATGCTCCCCTGTCTCCGTGCTTCCCCTCTTGCATTGCCCTGTGTGCTCCATCTCTTCTTCTCAGACCTTTCCTTCATTTGTCCCCGATCCATATTTTTGCATTACAAGTGAATCCTGCTCCTCCTCAGAGCATCCCTCCTCTCGCTGCACAGCACCGTGCTGCTTCCTCCCTCCTCTTCCTCACCCATCCCCACAGAGCCCCCCCGTTTTCTTAACCCTTTTTTCCCCTGTGTCAATCAGGTGTTGCCTACCAACCCAGAGGAAAGCTGGCAGGTCTACAGCTCTGCCCAGGATAGCGAGGGACGTTGTATATGCACAGTGGTGGCACCTCAACAGACGATGTGCTCGCGTGATGCCAGGACAAAGCAGCTGAGACAACTATTAGAAAAGGTAACGGCTGATGTGTTCTGGGCAAGGGGGGGTGGTTTGGCATGGTGTGAAGGGGGTGAAAAGCTGAGGGAGATGGGTTGAGCCTTCGTTTCCAGAAAAGGCAGAGCTGTGCAGTCGGTGCAGCGGAGAATAATCAGGCAGGAGGACAAATATCTGAGTATTTCTGAAAGGAAGAGAGCCCACGTCCTGAGGTCGGGTTAAAACTGCTGAGACCAAAGCAGAGATATTGAATCGCAACAGTTTATAAAATGAAAAAGAAATAGGGATGCATTGATTTCTATTCATCACAAGGACAAGCCTCAATGAGACTTTAAAACAAAACGAAGCCCACGCACTCCCAGCCAAGCTGATATGAGGAGAGGTCGCACAAAACGGTGCAAGCTGTCAGCATCAAATAGCAGAGAGATGACAATTCGTGGTTGTCTTCTTCTAACGTTGACATCCACTTGATTAGTTTTAGTAGTCCGCTGTCCAAAGAGATCAAAGAATCTCATTAGGGACACGTTCCTGATAACGAGAAGCTTTCCAGGTAATAGATTTTGTTAAAAAATGCTGTTTCATGCGAAATGGTGCTCTTCTCTTCAAAATATAAGTGGACTCGTGCTCTGGGTCTGTAATGCTCCTTGGTGCCCTCATGCATGTGTTGCATGACCAAGTGATTTGTACCCCGGTGCTCTCACAAAGCTGATATCACTCATCTCTGCATCAAGCCCACACCAAACTGATTTTCCTATGTGATAAGGGCAATAAACTCAGCCAGAAAAAACTTAGCCCTGAAACTTCTGATTGTGCCATCGGCTTCTGAAAATAATCCCAAAGCTCAAGCTTTGTTTCTCTGAGCTCTAACAGCAGTGGGTCGGGCAGTGCGTTTGGCTGGGAGGCGCTGAGTGCTGTGCTGGAGCCCAGTCGTGCTCCCAGAGCTGCTCACATGCATAAACCAAGCGGGCTTTGACCCGATGCCCTCTGCTAACAGCAGGCTGAGCTGAGTGCAGCGGCCTGGAGGAGCAGCAGCTGCAGAGCACACGGCGTGAGCGCTTAGGGATTTTTCCCTTACGCAGCTCTCCGGCTGCCAATGAGTAAAGTGAGGGAGGAGTGGGCTGAGAGGCGTGTTCTACCTGCCTGCTGCTCCGTCTGCAGCTCACTCCTACGCTAACCTATATGAAAACCCCAAAATAAAGAGTGGGCTCTTGGTGCCAGACATCTGATCTCGATCGAGGCTGGAATGCAAATCCCTCTGTAGGGAAAATGGATCCGCAGAGGAGAGCTCCCGGCTCCCCAGGGAGGATGTCAGGCCTGGATGCTCCTTCCCCCATCTGACATTTTCACTCCTGTTTTGAGAAAGCTCTCACCTCCGGATTTCTCTCTGCCAGCAGATGAAGAAACAGAATGTGCCAGGAAGGCAATTCTGGTTGGATTTTCAAAGTAGGAGACCTGGCACTCACCTACAGAAATCATAAGGTGTTGCTTCCAGGGGCCAGAAGAAAGCTGCTTTTGTGCGTGCGCACACACAAACCACCCAGAGCAAAAATCACTGCGCGGAGACTCGCAGCTGCCAACCCCACCAGCCTTCACCACACGGGCACCTGCACGCATGGGAGCTGCAGGTGAATCCTGGGCACCCGGCAGGGCTGAGGAGCAGCAGGTGCAGGAGCGGAGGTGAGCACGGGCTGCTCGCCAGGCACAAACTGTGCAGCCCCAGCCCCGCGTGGCTGAGCTCATCGCTGGCATCACTGGCCTGCTCGTGCCGAGCTCTGCGTGCGTCAGGTGCTGAGGCCACATCTTGGCCTTCCTCCAGACCGACACGTCACTGGGATCCTGTTCATGAGCAGATTATATTTTATCTTCAAATAGGAATTTATTTATTTGTTTGTTTTTTCCACCTGGCCTTGTTATCTGGGAGGGCTTCCTCCTTTGACAGTTGAACCGGCTTTCGTTTCCTGCCAACGCTTGCTCTTTGCCAGCACTTATCTCCAGCCTAGGCAGCTCTTCTTGTTCCTTTGATATTCACTCTGAGGTGCATAGTAATCTCAGCCTTCACTTTGCCTTCTGCAATTCTTACAGGAAGGACTTCGCACATCCCAATCTAACAGCTAGCTATCTCTGCCGATCATTCCTACTGAGTACCAACATCTCCCTTGAGATGCCTCCTGCTATGGCTTCTCCACTGGTTATCCAGCTACCCCAAGCTCAAGCCAAACATTCATCCTGTTCCAAAACCCAGAGTGGGTAGAAAAAGCTTGATAGCAGAGAAGCATGAGCAGAGCTAAAAATGATGGGGCACTGACCATGTAAACCCAACAGTGGATCATCAAGCCAGTTCCGACTCTCAGCTACTCTGGTTTACTTCTGAAACAGCTCAGTACTAACCAAGAGAGCAAGAACAGAACTCGATATTTGGTTTGTATCAAATTTCTGTTCTGAATGCTAAAATTGACTCTCTTCCCTGAGGTGGGTTTGTCTCTCTAATCAGCTTGATGGAAAACAAGGTTTCGTGTTGAGAGTGTGTGCTCAACCAATGGGGCAAAAAGCATTTTGGCTGATGTTAGCAAAGTAATGGATGAAGCTGAGGGAATCTGAGACAATATCCTTGGGTCTCAGTTGATTAAAGCACTTATGTACGTGCTTAAGTTTAAGCTAGGAGAAGTCTCATTGAAATCTAATCGTGTGCCAAAGTACTTTGCTGGATCAAGGGCTTAATATGCTAATGAGGGAAAACGAGTAGATCTCCAGATGATGGAGCACACGTTGCTGTCAGCGATCAGGAATGACGGAGATGAGTTTTTACAAGTCTGGCCAGAATCCTGCCTGCCTGAAAACAATACAGGCAGCAAATAGCGGGAGGCTGAACTCGTAGAGCGCATCCTGAAATAGCACAGCAGCTAATTTTAGTTGTCTCAGTTTAGAGATGTGTGAGGAAGCTCATTTCCTCTGCAGTCGGGGGAGAGGCAGGCTCCTCCAGAGGTGATTCAGAGCAGCAGCCTGGCCGTGGGGCTGATTTATTCCCTGCAGCCTGCTTATGTCTGATAGGACCTGCAGGGCCGGGGTGCTGCTGCGTATCAGCGTACCCATGCAGAACTGCTCTTGACTGCCTGCAGCTCGGCCCTTCATCAAGGTTGGGCGTTAGTGGGCTAAACGAGATCAGTTTTGTATGATCCTTACCAGTCATGTCTATTTCAGCTCACTGAAACAATTTTGCTTTGCAGATGCAGCGTGACTCACAGGACGGTGGTCTGGCCATTATTGTGCCAATAATGGCACAAGAGCATCTATCACGAGAGGCTGCAGATGAGCTGTGATTGTCCAAGGCCTTTCCTCTCCCTCCCTGGGGCACAAAGAGGTCTTTGAGACCCCCATTTCTTTCTGTATTTGGCTCCACCAGGGATGGAAATGGAAGTAGACTCATGGGCTCTGGGAAGTGGCTTGCAGGGTATTCTCAGAGACTGTTTGGGATCATGTTCAGGCTTTGCTGAAATTCTCAGAGAGGCTTGGAGCAGGATGTCTGGGCATCAGGCTTGGATGCCTGATTCATTTTGAACACGGGCATCAGCCCTGCAATGCCAATAGGGGCATTTCTATGGGCACTATGGCAGTGGAAGGCATTCCTTGAGCTAAGTGCAGTACAAACCCAAGAACCCCTGCTGATCAGGGGCATCCATTGCTTAATGCTAAATACGTGTGTAAGTTCTTTCCTAAGCCAGCACTTCATTTACCCTCTCAGAGCCTGAGAATGAGAGGTAAATATCTCAGTTAATCAGCTGGCAGCCAGCCTTCAAAACCAGGTCACTCCAGCTCCCATTTCCCTCCATTTCTTGCCCCTCTGGCACCAGCAGAAGCCCACCAGCTTCCTTGCATCTGCTCTGCAGCAGAGCCAGGCAGGTGCACACAGGGGGTGCAGGAAGGGGCACCGGTGAAGCCTGGGCTGCACCTATTACACTCCAGCCACCTCATCCTGCAGCTGCACTGCTTGTGGCAGATGCTGTATAAATAGTGAGACTGTAGGAGTGATGAATCTTTACTAGCTGAGAGTAAAGCTTGCACTTAGGCAATCAGTGTGCATCACTCACGTGAAGAAATGATAACGTACGCCTCAGCAGAAGTGTTTGTCATAGTCAGATGTGCTCCAAACGGGCTCTCCTTGCCCAAATCAGACATCCTGTGATTCCATGATCCTGTGCCTATCGAAGAAGCCATGACTACAAATGCACTTTATAGTTGACTACAACCTTTATTTGCATGTGTGATTGTTGAATTATTCTCTGCAGTGCAGCAGAGTACACGGTGATGCTCTGCTTTAGAGCATGGAGTCATAATACTGAGAGATGCTGATGATGAGCCCATAAATAATGCATCTGCTGATTACCCTTTTGCCACTTTGGCTCCAAGCAAAGGGCAGCATCTGCACTGCTGGAGGTGCAGCTCCCTTGTAACTCATCCCTTCTCATTTGGCAGGTGCAAAACATGTCTCAGTCAATAGAGGTGTTGGACAGGCGGACCCAGCGAGACCTACAGTACGTGGAGAAGATGGAAAACCAGATGAGAGGACTGGAATCCAAATTTAAGCAAGTGGAAGAAAGCCACAAGCAGCACCTGGCAAGGCAGTTTAAGGTATGTCTGCTTTCCAACCTGCTAACAGAGGCGTAGCGCGACGTCCCAGCCTGGCAGCCCCTGCTATACTGCAGCCCAGCTGCAGGCTATGCTCACAGCTCCCCTCAGCTCCCTCCTATCCAAAGCACGGCCAGAGAGCATTTTCCTATAGGGTAAAAGCCAAAATCTCTGCATTCCCATGATGGCAGAGCTGACTCCGTGTTGGAGGACTCTGGGCAGGATGAGGGCAGGCAGAGGCAGGCACCCCCCCACCCCCATTCCTACTCCTGTTCTCCTTAGGAAGAACCTAAAGGTTTGCAATAGCCTGGAGCTGAGCCTTAGCAAGCAGGTTCTGCAGCACACAGGAAACCACACCAGGCTCTCAGCACATCACTGCCCTCCTTGGCATGGGTTGCATCCATCGGGCAATCAGCCAAGCTGACAAACCCCACAAAAAATAATTTTAAAAAGGAATTTACAGCTCTTTGGCTGTCCTCAGGATGGCCAGCAGAGCATCTGAAGGATGTGCAAACGTCCGGTTTGGAAGTAAGAGTGTTGGCAGGGCTTTGCAGTGAGTGATGTGCGTAGATTAGGAGTGGAGAAATCATCCCTCTCAGTGATGCTGCCATTGCAGCAAACTTTCAGTCACATGAGTGAGACCAAGTGAAATTGCTGGAAAGAGGCTGTCAGCAACACTTGTCATGCCAAATTGTAGTAATATTTTGGATGAACCATAAACACAAATGGCGGAGATTTCTACTGAAATCCAGGGATGCTTCCCACCACATGATTCCCATCTGCTTGCACAGGCTGACCTGTGTGTTAAGCCAGCTGTTTCTTAAAGAGCTTGTTAAATACCACGATGACACAATAAAAGCTAGGAAGAAGACTCAGAACTTCCCACCAGCCCCAACTCCTGCCCTCCCCACCTGCAGGACCCCCTGCTTGGCCTGCCAGGCTCATCCTGCAGAGTTAAACATGAGATTCTTTCTCTTTTTCCTTATCCATTCTGATGAGTTTGACCCTCCCCAGTGCCTGCCTGGGAACCTGCAGCAGTTATCAAAGTAGATAGGAAAATAAAGACATGCCCCACATGCAGAGCGCAAGAGGGAAAGCCTCTTGGCTTAAATAGGAGGGGATGGGATGGAAAGAAATGATGCTGAGGGACAATTTCTGGTCCCCTTCACCTCCAGAGCTGCTTCAGCAGCCAGGCAGATTCTGAGCCCTGCTCTGGATGGGGTCAGGGCAGGAGCACCAGGTGTATGCTGTATGCTGCCATGCTTCATTAACGGGCAGGTGCATGCATATTTATGTCTGCTCATTAGCTGCTGGAGCAAAGCATCTTCAACAAAATGCTGCATACTGTGCCTTTAAACCAGGCCTCCATTTGATTCAAAAGCCAAAATACAGAAAGAAGCCTGAATTCCTGTAAAATAAACTTGATAACGACTTGGATTTTTACGCTTTTCATGGCGAGTCTGAAAACGGCCAGGAGCTTTTGTCTCATTTGCTGCCAAAGCACCACTTGAAATAACAGCACAGCATTTTGTTTCTGCTAATGCCAGTGTTGAGATGTGAGTGGTTCGGAGATCTTGTGTTCTTTCTCTTTAGTTCCGTATTGTCTATGAATGGCTATCTATATAAGGCAGGTTAGCGAGCTAGATCCTCAACAGTATTTCATTTTCTTGCTTACAGGGCTAACTTAAAAGCAAGTTTTTTCAATGCTGCAGTGACTGAAGAAGCAGTTCACTCCCATGTAACCATGAAAAGAGGGCCACAGAGCATTTTGCACCATGCATTTATTTTTTTTGATTATTTTCCAAATTAGCACCATATCTCACTAAGGAGCCTTGAACCACACAACCGAGATCTTCCTTTGCATGCAATTGTAGATGCATTTCATGAATAGTTTGAAACCCTTGTCAATGCATATATATATTATTTTATTTATTTATTATTTTTTTTTTTTGGAAGAAAAAAGAAAAAAAAAGAACTCTTTGTGTATGTGATCTGAAGCATGTAACCCTAAGATGTTGCATTCTAAAAATGACAAATAAAGGCCTTTCCCAAATATTTTGGTGTTCTGCAGCCTGTTTAATATGTTCTTTCCAATACGTCATTCGGACCAAAATAATGATTAAAGTAATTTTAATGATAATAATTGTGGGGATATGAACATTGCACTCACGTAGGAAGCAACCAGGTCAAGGCAGAGTGTTGCAGATTTTTGCACGCATAGCACTGAATCGAGCTTATTTTAACCTTGCAGGCAATAAAAGCGAAAATGGAGGAACTTAGGCCTTTGATACCAGTGTTGGAAGAGTACAAAGCCGATGCAAAATTGGTATTGCAGTTTAAAGAGGAGGTCCAGAATCTGACGTCAGTTCTAAACGAACTCCAGGAAGAGATTGGCGCCTATGACTACGAAGAGCTTCAGAACAGAGTGTCAAATCTTGAAGAAAGGCTTCGTGCATGCATGCAAAAATTAGGTAGGCTCAGACCAACATGGTGGCACTGGCTAAACACCATCGATGTCCCAACACACATCCCGGCTGCAGGCAGAGATGCGGCTTGGCCATCTCAAGGGGAGCCCTGCAGCCGGGCGCCATCCTGCAAGCACCTGTGCTGCGAGCAACACTCACCCTGCCAGCTGTCCTGCTGGGGATTGCTTGCATGCCTGATGTTGCTCACGGTGCAAGTGCTTCAGGATCAGGCCCGTAAGTAGGCATGTGACTTTTTGCAGCGTTTGCATAAGCGGACGGCGACGTGCGCAAACGCAAGCGGCGCTTATGCAAAGCAAACACATGCGCCCGTTCTGCTTATGCATCAATGTCTAAGCTGTTTGCTACCTGGACCTGGCGCATCAGTGAATGTCCCTGCACCCCGCTTTAAGCAGTGCGTGTGCAGGCTGCAAAATCAGTTGCCTTTGTTCCTTTTGCATCTTGCAAACCCCCTCCCCCCCCGTTGAGAAGAGCATGACGTACTGGCGCGGCTGGGACACCGGGCAGGATGGGACACCCAGCACCAGGCAGAGGGGCAGGGAGGGGGCTGCCTCCCAAAGCGCATCTCCCCGCTGCTTGCTGCCCTCGTGCTGCCTTGATTTAATTTCTCCTTCCATTATTGACTTTCTCGTTAAGCAATTTAGGTAATCTAAACACATTAACTGCTCTGCAGTCTATTTTGGTAGCACATATGAAATTACACTCTCAGGTAACTTCAAGGAAGAGCTGATCTCTTCTCAGCACTGTATACCCTTGGCAAGGTAACGTTTCATTTTGTGTGTCTCCACTGTTGGAATTGCTTTTGCTTGTTTCTAGGCACCCCCACATCTCCGCAGGCAGCCACCTCCCTGCCTTCCCATTCTGTTACCTCCTGCTCCCTTTCCCAGCTCTCCCTCTCATTCTAATTTTGGAGAGGCCCCTGGGCACAGAGGTGGCTTTATGGGAGGAGATGGTGCCCTGTGAGCACCCACACCTTCAGCCCGTCCCTCGGGGAGCAGGAGAAGCTGTTTGTTGTGGGTAGAGAGGATGGCAGCAGGACCAGGAAACTACAACTGTGCCATGGGATTGCTTACCTTGGGACAGACCATCCTGGACCTCAGGGCTTCAAAAACATTGAGTTTGCCCATGCATTGTTCACCCCTTCAGCTCAGGGCTCATTGCATCCCCCCCACGCTCATGTTCTCCCAGTGGGACACCTGACCAAGCCAGTGGCCCAGGTAAGGCTGAGGCAGCTGGGATGGAGAGGTCTTGTGGGCAACTTTTTCTAGAAAGTTTTGCTGTCTTTTAAAATTATTACTATTGTTTAGATTTTATTTGGGAGCTTTGGCTTTGCTCCTTCTTTTTCCTCCAGCCCTGGGGTGATCCCAGGCAGCTTTTGTGCCTTGGGGATCTGCAACACCCCTGTGTGCTCACAGAGACCAACTCTGACTCTTGCAAAAGGGTTCTCCTGGGAGGCTTTGCTGCTCGCCAGGAGGGTGATTTATTTGGTCATTTAGCAGCAAAGAGCACAGACTGAATGCTCAATGTTGTTTATCGCTCTGGAGCACAAACCAGTGCAAATAGGAGTTAATTGAGTTAAATTCAGGTAACAACCTTACAGCCACTTTGCTGGCACATGGTAAGACTAAGGATTGTTGTTTGCTGCAGATTATGTGCTCAGAGGGATGCACTGAAGTCTCACGTAGCACATTTCATCTTCATTTGTTCCTGCATGGGGCAGCAAGGCTGCTCACCTGCATTCACCTGCTAGATCAGGGCAGGGGACCAGGAGGCAGAGGCCATGTGCTGCATTCCTGCCCACCTCACCTCCCCAGGGAGCCCTGATGCTCAGCAGTGTAGCAGCATTCTCTTTAGACAAGGTCCTTTTTGTATTTGGGGTTTCTTAAGCGTTCTTGATGGATCAGTAGTGAAAACACTTCCTGACCCTGTCGTGTGCATGTGAAGGGAAAAAAGAGATCAATAACGGCGTGTTCAATCTGTTGTGCTGTTTACATTCTTAAAGATCACTATTTATGTAGGGATTTTAACGTTTCCATTACACTGAGAAGAGCACTGGGAGAGGGAAGGGGCTGGCACTCCTTAAATCAAGGGGGATTTCATTCAGCTGAGCTCTGTAGGCTCGTGTTTGCCAATGCCATGAGCTTTCCCAAACTCTTGCAAAAAAAATCCCAGCCCACAATCCTGGTGGATGGAGGCAGAGCAAGTGTGTTTTCCCCTCTGGGAAAAGCCAGGTCCTGCAGTCTTGTGCCCAAAGTGTTTGGGATGGGCTGGGGTGATGGAGATGAGGGTAAGACATGACCCCACATCCCCAGTGCTGGGAGCAGGCTGGGAGGACAGGTGGGTGCTGCCCGAGCAGAGCCTGGCAGCACAGCACAGGTGACTGCATTGGTGGTAAATTGCTGCCAAGCTGCCAGACATCACCTGCAGGTGGGCTGGATCTCAGGGAAAATAAGGAGTGGGGCTGTTAGCATCCTGGGAGGGGGATGGTGGTCATTGTAGCTGGCTTAAAGTGTGTTGTCTGCTGCTGATGGTGTGGGCACGGGAAGGGGTTGTGTGTTTATTGTGCTGTGTTGCATTGCTGATGGGTGCAGCTGCAGGAAGTTGGTTTGGAGCTGGGACAGCCTGCAGGGCCTCCAAAGGGGCTGAGTTGTGCTGATTCCCAGGAGGCACCCAGATCCTTGTGGGCCTCTGTTCCCAGTAAGGGAAAATGGGGTGAAAGCAGAACCTTCAGGAGTGCCCCAGAACTGCTGTCCACAGCTTCCTATTCTAATGATGGATTCAAGCAATGGGCAGCAGAGCGTGCTTCCCTGGTGCACATTCATCCCCGAGAGATTCACTGGTCGCATTTCAGCATTGAAAGTGGTCCCAGAAGGAAAATAAGCTGTGAATACAGTCTTTGCCTTCCTTCTCTTTAGTGAAATATTGGAGAGGCTCAGTCTGAGAGCTAGGAAAAGTGAGAATCCAAGCTTGGGAGCTGTTGCCGTGGTCTGAACTGCAGCACAGCAGACTGAGTCCTCTCTGCCCTCAGTGATATTCCTGCTGCTGGTGGCTGCTAGCCCCATAGAAAGAGGGAAGAAAGCTGATGGCGTTAGGAATGTGGTGCACACCTCAGTGGGAGCAGATAAGAGTGAGCGTCACAGAGGCTGTAGTTGTGCATCCCCTGGGGTAACCTCATGAGAGCTGCAGGGACCTGGCTCCTGGGGTCCAGGAACCCTTTAGTTCTGTGATCCATTTTGGGCATCTTCCCTTGTGTCTGATGCCTCTGGTGGGGTTATGCTGAATAAGTGCCTTGTCCTGTATGAGAGCAGCCCTCTTGCACGGCTGGAGAGCTGCTGTGAATGTGCCAAATGTGTATGAGATGGTGCAAACAAGACTAGTTTACCTTTATCAGCTGATACGGCTTTTTTTCCCCTTTTTTATTTTTTAATCAATGTGCTTTTATACAACCTTTCTCTCCAGGGAAATGGAAGAGAAGAGAGAAAGTGACAGCAATGTGGGGCGGTGATAATGGAAGGCAGCAAGGAGCAGATCTGTGATTAGGGTTCCTCTGCAAGGGGAATTTACCAGACATTAAGCATTCATTATTTTAACCCTTTCCATCCCCTTGTCAGTGGTTCCTCCCAAGCTGAGTGGTTCTGCGTGCACCACGTAGGATGAGATCCCAGGGGAGACATCAGGAAACTTGTGCTGAGCTTTGGGTGCTGCCAAACGTTGGGTGCCGACTTTTGCTTGTCTCTCACAGGGGGTGCTGCTGCAGGACTGCTCTGTGCAGGATGTGTCTGGGTTTTCAATGATTGCTCCTGTAGCAGTAGAGCTTTCCACGCTGAACACAGCCCATCCTGCAGCATCCCACTGTGTGCCTCCTCCTGTCATTCTGAAGTGCACATATGTTAAAATGACGGCGTTTGGGAAGAGGGGAATGGCAGCTTTGGTGGAAACTGGGGATAGCAGTATTAAAAAAAAAAAAAAAAGGAAAAATAAGAAAAAAAGGAAACCAGCATCTGGCTCCTGGGGCTGGCAGTGGTACAGGAGGGGCTCTCCTCAGCAGCCCCTGAGCATGCAGACACATCAGAGCAGGGCAGGCGGCTGGTAGAATCCTGAGATTGTTTCTGCAAGGAAGAGAGATTTACATCACCTATAATTTCCCACTTCTTTTTTTTTTTCCTCCTTTCTCCTTTGCATAACCTGTAACAAATGTGTTGCTTCCAGCAGGGCTGGAGTAGACACGACTGTCTTTTTATCTCGGCTGCATCCACTCTATTATAGCAGAAATGAGCAGAGCTATTCAGCTAATTTCTCCACCTGGCTGCTCAACCCTGGCTAACTCTTCTCATTTTCTATTCTGCAGCATGAGCATGCAGCTGCTGTGGGAAGGCTTGTTTTCTTGGGGCAGTGCGATAAGGACAATTGTTGTTAAAAGATGTGGAACAACCATAAACCACCCGGCAGTTGTTCTCAGCCTAATTGCCTTTAATTAAATAACAACACAGCTTCTCGGAGTGCTGGGATGGGGGGCAGTGGGGTCCGGCAGGGAAAGACCCAGCATTAGAAAGCATGTGCCCAAACATTTTTGGGAGTGGTGCTCACCAGCCTTGCACTCTTTTTCAGCTTGTGGCAAGCTGACGGGGATAAGTGACCCAATCACAATTAAAACCTCGGGGTCCCGCTTCGGCTCATGGATGACGGACCCTCTTGCCCCAGAGGGAGAGAACAAGGTAAGAATCCCTGTGGTCCTGGGTGTCCCCAGGGAAGGAAAATCGAGTATTACGTGGGTTTGGCAGCCATGAAGAGTGAAGAAGCCCATGCTGTTGGCCCTCGCTGCTCTTCTGCTGCCAGCATCCCCGATAACGTCATCAAACTCCATTTGTCCTCCGTCCTCCACCTGCGCTGTAGTGAGGAATTAACTGGCTGCAGCCAGAGGGATTTGTCTTGCTTTGTTTTTGTCTTTTTTGTTGTTGTTGTTGTTGTTTTTCCTTTCATTCAGACCATTCAATTTTGATCCCAAGGAGGTAGGAGGCCAATAACTGGCTGAAAATCAATCCAGGCTTCCCATGACTGATGGAATGGAAAATATCTCGAGTGCTTGCTACAGATTTGCAGGCAGCAAGACATAACAATAACCACAGTCCTTGGCTGCAGGGCAATTCCCTGCTGCACAAAGCAGCCCTCATCAAAGGATGAAGGCACCAGCACGGGCTCTATAGAGGCAGCTATTTTGAGAGCCTGCCCTGTGACCAGCTCTCTGCAGCCATGAGCACAAGGGATGCTCTGCAGAAGCCACCCCAGCACGAGGCATTGCCTGGGGACGTGCAGCAGTGAAGCAGCAGTGACGTGAGATGGCGGATGAGGTCCTCCAGCAGCCAACTGGTTGGCACTGGCTCCCCAGTATGACACCTCTGTCTTCTAAGGTTATTAAACAGAGACAGCCCTAAATATGAAGTAGAATAGGTAGGTTTTGCCCACATTTGGTTCATGAGAGAGGGACAGACTCGTCCCTTCGGGCTGTGTCTGCTGCATCCCTCAGCAGTAATGGGGTTAGGTAGGACTTGCACATCTGCAAAGGGAGAGACAGAACTGTGGCAGCCGAAGTGCATTAATTATGTGCTAACGATCTTCCTAGAGAGTTTTATCTCAAGCCAATATTTTATTATTTTTACTTTTGCCCCTGACCTTCTCTGCGGATTATTTTTGTTGTGTGTAGAGGAGCAGCTTTCGCTGGAGTGTAGCTCAGGCTTCACAACTGTGTGTGTGTGTGTATGAAATGAATTGTGAACTGTGTTACAAATGCGTGCTTATGAGAACTCCACTGGCTGAGTGGGAAGCTGTGGGGAGAGGCCTGGCAGTTCATCATATCCATCTTCCATCGCCAAACCCCGGGAGGTGTTCGGTGGTTTTCATGGTCATTTATTCGTGTCATGAAATCATTGAACACAACTGAACAAAATTGCAAGTCGCACAGGAGCAGCCCGGCGGCGGATGCTGAGCGCAGGGATTGATGCATATTGGCAGGGCAGTGCAGGAGAAGCTGCTCAGAGGCAGCTGGCAGCGTGAGGCCATCCATCCCTCAACCTCTGCTTCTGCACAGCACAAATATCTCTGCATCCCGCCGCCTTGATAACCAGGTTTCCTTCTCTTGTGATCTTCCCTTTCCCTGTCTAAAAACTGAACGAATGTTTGGTATTAATTATTCAATACCAAATAATGAAATGTGAGCAGCAGAGAGACAATGAGTTTCAGGGCTATTTTGTAATTTTCCTAACCAGTTGAACACAGGCTTTTCTTTAGCAGAATAATGTCAGCCCCACGTCCGTCAGTGGAAGCTCTCCCATGCTCTGGCACATCTCTGCCTTGTGCTCAGGGCCATCCATGCTTTCCTTCCTGAGCTTTTGAAGCCCTCCTCACAGAGACTGGGGAGGTGAGAGCAACTTGCCACACTCATTCTTTGCGTTCCAGGGCAGGACTGAGTGGGGTCTGAAGTTCCCTGCAGCCCTCACTTGGCCTTGCAGCCAAACTCAGGATGCACACTGTGTGTAAATGTTTGTCTGCTCCTCTAATGGACCCTGGAGATGGCTGTACCGCAGAGCTGCTGTGATCACATTTTGCAAAGCAAGCTCACTCTGGAGCCTTACTGAAATCTGCATCCTTAAAGGCATTCCCTGCTGCCATTTCATTTACCTCTTTTCCTTCCTAAACATTTTTAACAGAAGGCAGCTATCTTTTTTTTTAGGCAGCAAAAGCACACAGGGTGTCACTCACCGGACGGATATTTCTTCTTGATATTAACTGCACCGCTTTAGCATTTGCCTCTGAATTGGTTTCAGATGACAAAAGCTCTTTTTTTTTAAGGAGTCTAGACAGTGTCCCTGGCGAACTGGCGTTTAAATCGTGATCTGAAATCTCTCTCCCATCTCCTGATAGCAACATTTTGATGTCTTTGTCTCTTGTATTTCAGCAGTGTTGGTTTAAGCTTTTGATGGGGAAGTGTATGATTTTTAAACCAATATGGACTTTGCCTGCATTTCCCTGACAATGAGCGATTGTGTTCCTCGCTCCTGCATGCCAAATTAACAGAGCTCAGCACAGCTGCTGCTGTAATTTACTAAGTGTGATCGTAATGGGGCTTACAGGAGAGGAAGGCAGCATCTCTGTAGGGTTTAGCCACAGAAAGGTGCTGCTTGTCCTCTGGAGGGACAGTGCCAGTCCTGGAGAGATGCCAGCTTACCTTCAGGAAAGATTTGCCATTCTCTCCATTCCTTGTTGACTTTGGGGTGACAGCCTGAGCTTTGTTCTGGGCACAGGAGGCTTTGGGGACGTTGTTCTCCAGCGGGTGCCTCAATGAGGTTGGCCCCGAGCAGCACACTTTGGGTTTAGCATCCTAGGCGAAGGACTGCCTTACTGATGGGAGGTCTCTGCTGTTCCCTAACCCCACGTGTTTCTGTTGCTCGCCCAGGTCTGGTACATGGACAGCTACCACAACAACCGCTTCGTCCGCGAATACAAATCCATGGCGGATTTCATGAACACCGACAACTTTACCTCTCACCGTCTCCCTCACCCATGGTCAGGCACTGGTCAAGTGGTCTACAATGGCTCTATCTACTTCAATAAATACCAAAGCCACATAATTATCAGGTTTGACTTGAAAACAGAGACCATTCTCAAGACTCGCAGCCTGGATTATGCCGGCTACAACAACATGTACCACTACGCCTGGGGCGGCCACTCGGACATCGACCTCATGGTGGATGAGAACGGGCTGTGGGCCGTCTATGCCACCAACCAGAACGCGGGCAACATCGTCATCAGCAAGCTGGATCCCAACACCCTGCAGAGCCTCCAGACCTGGAACACCAGCTACCCGAAACGCAGCGCTGGGGAGGCCTTCATCATCTGCGGCACGCTCTACGTCACCAATGGCTATTCGGGAGGCACCAAGGTGCACTACGCCTACCAGACCAACGCCTCTACCTATGAGTACATCGACATCCCGTTCCAAAACAAGTACTCGCACATTTCCATGTTGGACTACAACCCCAAGGATCGGGCCCTCTATGCCTGGAACAACGGGCACCAAATACTTTACAATGTCACCCTCTTCCACGTCATCAGGTCCGACGAGTTGTAGTCCATCCTTGTTTAGAAACTGATTTAGGAAAATAAAAAAATAAAAAAAAAAAAAAAAAAAAAGGAAAAAAAAGGGAGAAATGAATATAAGAAACAAATGCTAATATTGAGGAAACACACTTTAAATAAGTAAATAAACAAACAGCTGCCAAAATTAAGATCGACGTCATGGAGGATTATTCAGCATAGAGCTGACAGATCAGCATTACCTCTACATTTCTAGAAGTCTGGCCCCGCGTTACGGACTCATGACTAACCATGTACTTGCAGCTGGAACTGCACCTGGAGAACCACTTCAGTTTGGGGTTTTGTTTTGTTTCTGTTCCGATAGCAAACCTATAGCGCATACAAAAGAAGTAAGGCAATGACTGTTGGAAGTTTATCCTTGGGAGACTCGCTCTCTTTCTGTGTGGGGGTTGCATGGACATTTTCTGACATCGCGGGCAGCTGTGATGGATGTGTGATTTGTATTTCTAAGCAGAAAGCTGACCCGTGAGGAGCTCTCGCTGTCTGAACAAGACCTATCACAGGTTAGTTTTATTTGCCTTCCATTGCAGCTACTGTCTCTCAACTGTGTTCTTGTCACTTAGATTAACTGTGCTGAGACCCGAAGTAGCTCATGGATCTGTGTCTTAGTAACTATTAAACACGATGGTTTAAGTATGTATTATGAACAAGTTGTTGTACCCATATTGTTTGAACTTATGTATTCAGCAAATATATTGTATAATGTATGTCTGTTATTTACCAGAGGTGGCGAAACTTTGTATGTCCAGTTTATGCAATGAATGTTGTAAATGCAATGATGTAGTTTGGATTAATAAATGATGGTTTTGTTTCTAAAAAGAAAAAAAAAAAAAGATCAGTGTTCACCCTTATACACAGATAACCAATTTCATGTTGATAATTACAATATTCTCTTACTGTTGTAATATCTACATAGCATTATGGTGGATGGAAATTGCTTCTGTGGAAATTCTGTGCCGTCAGATTCCCATGGGAAGCCCAGTTTATGGAAGTGTGAAGGTAATTACTTTTTTTTTTTTAAGAGGAAAACTTTGTACTATCCACAGTTATCTAAGGAACAATAAAAATATTAGGAGACTTCCCCGCTTTGTTTGTTGTGTGTTCTGTGCACGAGCAACCAGGAGCAGGGGGAGAGGATAAGAGAAATCACTGTGGGGTTTTGGGGTGATGGCTGCAGCAAGTTGGGTGTGCTCCCAGCTCAGAGCCCTCCTCTTGCATGGACTTTTTGTAGGGCTGGGTCACAGCTGTGGGACAGGCCAGGCTCCATGGGGTTTTGCATAGCCTGTCTCTTGCCCCTTTGCAAGCTGCAAGCATCGCCCTGTGCACTGGGTGAGTCTTCTTTAGGACTTCTGTATGTTCTCCTGTTGGTTATCTAAGCCAATCTGTGCACTTCTGGGGAGATGCATGTGACTATTTGGGTATGCTGACGTTGCAAGGCATGGCACAGTGGCAGAGCACAGGCGTTGCTCTTTGTGCGCCTAATTACCCAAAGTCACTTCTATCATTAGGCAAGATTTGAGGACAAAAGAACAAATTTACTTCAAAATATTGATCTGCAAAAAGTAAATTGAATTACAAAACGGCAAAATAATGCTGTTTGCTTTAGGGCACAGCTACATTTAGACTCTGATTTTCCTAGTGCAATTCATTTAATACAAGGCTCAACAGCACAAAACGTCCTTGAACACAACAGAGGCAGAGCAGCTTTCCTGTAACTTGTACCCAAAGTTAATGAGATGAGAAAAGTGCTTTAAGGGGTGTACCTTTGTCCTATTTGCCTGTAGTGCAATGTTCTATAAATGGATGCCATATGGTCATACAGTTAATGGTATGCATTACTTTTCAAGTGGATGAGCCATTCAAAGACAAGTACGTCCCAGAGGATTGCTTTCTATAGCCTGTGACTTAATTATTTGTTGCACGGGGTTTGAGGGTCCAAATTTAGTCATGGGACTCATTGAGATGCTTCAGAGAAACATCTGACCATATATTTGTATGCGTGTTTATGTGTCATTAATATCTGACGAGGGCTTAATGGAAGGGCACTTGATGAGGTGTCGGTGGGTGTCTGGGTTGGATGAGGGCTCTGTAGGGCCCAGGATCAGCCCTCCTGCATCCCGGTAATGAAGCTGAGCAAATAATAGAGCAGTTCTGATTTTGCTGGCCATGTTTTTGCTTTCTATGTCCTTTGAGCTGGATGTACCTGCCCAGGGACGAATGGAGCACCTATTCACGGACAAACAAGGCTGGCTTCCATTCCCACAGCTCTCACAGCTCTGCTGCTTTCTGCCCTGAGACAAATCTCCTCTTTGCAGCCACAGAGCTTGGCTCATAGGACATCTGCACAGCTCTGGGCCATGGGGGCACTGGGATTGCCCATAGCCAGGTCGTCCCACTGGGTTACTGGGAGCTCACTCAGCTCCTGCCTGCAGCCTAGGCAGAAATGTTGGCTGCTGCTTAGCACTGTCGCAACAGCAAGAGCTCAGAATTTCCCTTCTTTTTCTCTTCACTGTTACTTCTCTGACCTTCATTAGTTCTGCAAGCACCGAATGCAGAGCCCATATGGAGACAGTTATCATAAAAAAAAAAAAAAAAGATCTTGGCCCCTTAATTAGCTCCTCATTATCTGGGAGCTCCATATTGAAGGATTAAGATGTTGCAAAGCAATTTGTTGAGTTTCCAATTAAAACTTTTTGGAACTGTTGAGCCTTTTAATACTTTATGTTTACAAATTATCTTGGACCTAGACAAATACGCACATTTCCTTCACCAGGGAAATATGGCTGAAGAGCTGACCGGTATTAATACGAAATCCTTAGGTTTAATAAAGTCATAAACTATGTCAATGAAGCTTTATGTACCTGATACAACAGAGATGACAGTCTTTGAATGAATGAAAAAGAGTAAGGCTCATTAAGAGGGCAATTATGAGCTGACTCCCTAATAACTCTGCTTTTACTGCGCTGTAACTATAAAAACAAATTGTACACATCCCTCTTTATAGTAATTTGCCTCACATGCGTTCCTGCCAGGTGAGGTTTGTGCTGAGATGCTCCATTTGGGGGGCAGCAGGAGTACAAGGCTCAGCATCTCCTGGCAGCACGTTGCAGGATCAGGCCCTTCATGCACAAGTAAAAGCCAGATGGGCATGGATTACAATCACTGTGCCGTGCAAGCTGTTTGCTGGAGGAGTGCAGCTCTGAGACACGAACACAGAAGAAAAATAGGTCTCTCCTGCAAGGCACTGAGCTGCACATGCCTCGCCTGGGTTCCTCGGTGTGCCTGCTGCCAGAGCTGCTGCGATGGCCCAAAAAAGAGGAAGGTGGGTGGCCGCTCAACCACCCCATGCTGAGCTGTTCCCAGTATCTGCAGAGCTGGGGCAGAGGCATCGCTGGAGCCGCAGTGGCTCTCATCTTGGGATAAACACAGAGGAGTGCAACGTCTTCCTTAAAACCTCCTAAAAATGGATCCCAAGTGGTTGGGGAGCGATGGCCGTCTCCACATCGCATCCGGCGAGCGCACAGAGGGATGCAGCCTGTCTGCAGCAGGAATCAGCCCACCAAGCATCAACCAACCGCGTACAGCATCATCCTCCTGCAGAGCAGTCCCCGGGCCCGCAGGTGGGACAGGCTGGTGGCCGTTGTCCAATCACTGCAGGAGGACACATGTCACCGAGGACGGCTCTGTGCAGTGCATGACAAGCATCACCTTTCTGCAGCGCTGGGCCTTTGTTCTCAGCCTGCGCCGAGGACTTTTGATAATATGGTACTTATGTTCTTTGGGATGTTGTAAAGCTGCGAGCTGATCTGTATTGAACATGTCGTTTGTATTCCCACGCTGTTTTTTAAGCAAATCTGTCAAATAAAACCCAAAAAAAGGAACGAGAGGAGGAATGCAAAGGAGTGCTTACATAAGGCGTTTGCTGTGCAGGCATCCGCGAGCACTGCGGGCCCTGGTGGCTTTGTGACTTTGCTGCGTATGGGGGTAAAGGGCCCTGAGAAGCCCCTTCACCTGGCACAGGGAGCAGCACAGGGGAGTACTGGCAGCCCCAGCTGGAGGCATTGCCACATTTCTCCACCAGTGCTTCCCACCCTCTGGCACGGCGGAGTTCTCTGAGCTTTGGAGAGGTTTTGCAGCTCCTTCCTGATGGGATCTCCGCTTCTTGCCCTCCCTCTGGCTTTTTGAGACCTGCTCTGTGGAAAATCCCCTCGCTCCCAGGATGATTATTTTTCACACTGTTTTCTGTTCATACTTACCCATTTCTGCACTTTCTGAGGATGCAGCTACCCAATATAAATGGTGTCTACAGCCCGAGCAGCACCTGCAGCAGCTGAGTGGGTCCCTCCTCACTGAGCCCCCAGCGAGGCAGGGAAGGGACCTTGGGGAGAAGAAACATAAACCTGCCATCTGTGGCAATTTAGCATTTACCAGTCATATTGCACTAGGGCACTGTCACTTTGAATGAATGTTAAAGCATTTCCTCTCTGTAGCCTGAGAAGTCTCCTTTTCCCATTAAATTGGCCATGGCATGCCATAATAAAACAGACACGCTGTGTCTGCAAAGGGTCACTCGGAGGGGCTGACATCAGCTCACAGAGGTCCCCTTGTGAAGGAGGCATTCAATTAAAGTTTTATTGCAATTCCGCAGTGTGAAGCCATGAGGGTGAACCTGGGTGGCTGTGCTGGGATTGTAAATTAGTGGCTGAGCGTGGGTTTGTTGGGGATGGCAGCTGTGAGCACGGGGCTCACTGCAGGTACAGTGGCAGTATGGTGGCATGGGGACTGCAGGATGGGCAAGTGTGGAGTGACCTGGGTATGGGTTGGGTAGGGGGATGCCAGCAAGGGCACGGCTTGCAGCAGTGTTGTGGTGACAGGGAAAGCAGCCCAAGTGCTTTGCAGATCCTGGTTTCCTACAGAGCATCCTGAAGCACTGCTCCAGATGCACTCAGTACCCAAGCGCAGATGCTCACAGTGCATCCATCACTCCAGGGATCACAGAGGGGAGGAAAGCTGCTGGAAATGAGCAGGGCCCTGTGCCCAGATTTTGGCCATAACAACATACTTTCAAAAA